CCGGTCCCCCGTCGCGGGGACAAACGCCCACAAAATTTGGACAGTTTAAAACCTAGAATACAAAAACTTTTTGAATTTTTTTTCCCCCAAAGCCCCCAAAAAAGAGACGGCCAAGCCGGGGTAAGGTTCAGGATAGTCTAATGTAAAGCGGTGGATCGGACAGAAAGGAGAGCCTTGAGAGCCCACTGGGGCCGTGGGTCGCGAACCCCGCTGGGCTGCGGGAACAAGGAAGCCAGCCCCCCCCCCCCCCCAGGGCTAATCCCCGTGTGGCAACTGGGTTGCAGTGCCTTGAGTGCCCCCCACACGAATTCTGCCATCTGGGAGCCTCGACCCCGCCTCCGACCTGTGGCTCTGGTCGCGACCTGCGAAATCAGCCGCGAACGGGCCACACCCTCTTTTGCCTCCGTCATGGGAAGACGCCAACGAGGAGTCGTCGAGGTGAAGGAAATGACATGTGTCAGGCGACGATATGCGGCGGCCTTCATATGTGCCACCCTGTTTGATGTTGGCTCTTGGATCAAGTCACCTAGGCCTTTATTTCGCTTTATTGAGTCGAGCACAGCTTGTCGAGCACAGCTTGCTCATTCGAGCATTTAATTACTATGTCGAGCGAGTCAACTTTCAAATGCAGGGTGCAGCTCCACACGCACGACCAATCTTGCATGTCTTAGACCTGCTGATGGGATGAGACGAAATGCGCCCAAGCTGCTGGCCACTGTGAGTGCAGGTCTCGGCCAGTCTCTCTGGGAATGGCAAGGTCCAGCTTCGCCAATTTCATCACTAAGGGTTCCGCCTTAGTCAGCGAATGTGGAAGTCGCAGTGTTCATCCCGCCCACAAGAAATCGATTGCCTCACAATATGAGAACATCAGACCGCCAATCATCAGAGGCTCGCGGGAGCATCTCCAGTGGATGTGTAAATAAGGATAATATAGCATTGTCACGAGCTTAACGTCCTTCAGCCGCATTGTCACAGCCCAATTCTCAAACCCCAAACTCGGCAATGGTACCGATTCCTCGGACCGAGACCCGAGACCCACGCAGACCTCCGAACCAGGAGCGCGTGTCGGTTTATTGAAATACACTCTCATGTCATGACCATCGTCACCAGCCTCACTCATCGCCACTCCTCACCTCAACCATGTCGCTCCTCTTCAAGCGCTCGATGGCTACGGCCTCTTCTCTGCGGACAGCCGGCAAGGTTGTCTGCGTCGGCCGCAACTACGCGTAGGGCAGCCCCCTTCCCCCTTGCCCCGAAACTCCTTTCCGCGAACCCGGGGCTAACCCTCAGCCTCATGTGCTCAGCGACCACATCAAGGAGCTCAATTCGGCCAAGCCCAAGCAGCCCTTCTTCTTTTTGAAGCCCACATCATCCATCCTCCTGCCCGGTGGCGGCGCCATCCAGCGGCCCAAGGGCGTCGACATGCACTACGAGATTGAGCTCGCCGCCGTCGTTGGCAGGCAGATTCGCGACTTTGACCCCAACGACGAGCAGGGCGCTCTCGACGCCATTGAGGGTCTGTACACCAACGGAGGCCCTCCCATGCACCTGCATGCTAACAGCTCTACAGCCTACGCCATGTCCATCGACCTGACGGCGCGCAACGTCCAGAACGAGGCCAAGAAGAAGGGCCTGCCCTGGAGCATCGCCAAGGGCTTCGACACGTTCCTGCCCATGAGCAACATCATCCCCAAGGCCTCCATCCCCGACCCCCACAACGTCGAGGTCTTCCTCAAGCTCAACGGCGAGACGAAGCAGGACGCGTCCACGAACCTCATGCTCTTCCGCCTGCCCCGTCTGCTGGCCGACATCTCCAAGGTCATGACGCTCGAGAAGGGCGACATCATCCTGACGGGCACGCCGGCTGGCGTCGGCCCCGCGGGTCCCGGCGATGTCATCACTGGCGGAGTGCGCGTCAACGGCAAGGAGCTTGTCGAGGGCAGGATTGAGTATGCCGTGGAGGAGTCGACGAGCTCTTACGAGTTCAAGGAGACGTGAGAGCTATGAGTTCAGCATGTTTGACACCCCCAGAGGCACCCCATAATCTGGGTTTTTTTTTTCTTCGCGAGAGACAAAAGTATATCAATGTATACCACGACCCATCTGTCGTTTGCTGTTTCCTGCGCCTCCCCCCAAAATGCCATGCACGTCGCCCGCGACGCTGACTCGCCCCATCTTGACCCGCACAACGGCTCGAGGAGCCACAAATCCCGGCCGACGGAATATCACGCATTCATACCCACCACCACTGGGGCCTCTCGACCAAAGAACCCTCTGTCTGCCCCGTTCCACACTGTGGCCATGAACAGGTCGGCCGACAGCGGAATCCATCAACAGGGGGGGATGGCGCAGTTGGGAGCGCGTTAGACTGAAGTCAACTTCAGGAAGTCAATCTAAAGGTCGCTGGTTCGATCCCGGCTCACCCCAGGTAGTAGATCTTCGGATCTCCAAGTTTTGTCACATTCTCTTTCATTTTTGTCACTGCCCAAACGGCAGAACAGAAGCAGTGGCGCTCAGCGTGGCACTCCAACCGTCACAATGGCCATGGGGATGAATCGCGCATCACAAATGGACAGCGCCTGGATCAGGAAAACTCATAATTTATACATGCAATCCGAACGCCGTCACACAGACAACCCCCCCCCCCCCCCTGCCCCAAATCGTACGTGTCACGCCGACTCCCGGTTCGGGTCCCGAATGCTCCCCGGCCGCGGCGCCGCCTCAGCCATGGTCCCGCACGCGCCGCACCGCCTCTTCTCCTCGCTGGCCTTGAACTCGTTCACGGCGGCCTTGATCTGCGTGCCGAGGTCCGTGCAGTGAAAGGCCGCCTCGTGCACGACGGCCCGGCAGCCGTCGCAGTACCAGCGCATGCGGTCGAGGCTCCCCGGCGGCCGGCGCTGCTCGAGCACGACGCCGACCGTGTCGGCGAAGCGGACGGGGTTGTGCGGCGTGTTGGCGGGCAGCAGGAACATGTCGCCCTCGCGGATGACGATGTCCTTGAAGGCGCCGTCGGCCGGGTCGACGACCTTGAGGGTCATGGCGCCCTTGTACTGGTAGAACCACTCGGGCGTCGTGTTGATGTGGTAGTCGGTGCGGGCGTTGGGGCCGCCGACGATCTGGCGGCTGTGTTAGAACAGCGAGCGCTCACGCGTATGTATGGCTGAGGAAGGGGAGGGTGGCGAGGACACCTGGCGAACGTACCATGACGGTGAAGTCATCGTTGTAGACGCAGTAGTTGTTGATGGGGGGCTTCAGCAGGTGAGAGTTCTCTTCGAGCCTGGATGGCAGTTAGGAGGTTGTCTGAAGCGCAACATGGCGCTGGCATTGACTCACCACTTGGGCAGGTTGATGGGATTTGAAAGCATTCTGAGAAGCGTTGTCAAGTGTGGTGCTTGGTGAGAGTGATGGCAAACAAACCAACAAGAAAAACCGAGTCTATCCGAGCCTCTTTACAGGACTCGATGAATTTTCAATTCTGCTTGAAAAAATCACACCAAAACGAGCATCGCGTTTGAAATGCCTCTTCGGTAAATTGACTGGCAAGGCGCGGCAGTGTCGGCGCGACGGCTGTGACTTCAGCGGCATTTGCCCCTCCACCCGCATCTCCCCTATGGTGACCCCGCGACCCGCGACGTGATGCGACTGTCGTCTGATTGGTGTACCTCTGCGTTATCAATCAGCCGGTACCCGCCTCGTCATCGCTTTGACTATTCGCCTTGTCAGAAACCTTTTGCTCGTGGCAGAGGCATGGGATTGAAAGGCTGCTCACCATTGTCTTACCTGAAGCGAGGCCTCTTCAGTTCTTACAGTCGGCGGCACCTTGTGTCAGTGTCGTAAACACCAAGTCCAAGGTGAATGATGACTAAGCTCGGTGGCCTTCGACAGGCGACATCGGCAGACTGGTGTTTTTGCGGGTTTTGAGGATCAAGCAAAGGAGGAGTGCCATCAAAGAGCAACGCCAAATAACTGCTTGTCGCGGACCACCTTGGCTCAGATCATCAGATGAGGTCAACACATGGCCAACATGTCGTCCGATAGGAATTGGAATTTGCTGCCGTGCGACCTCGTCGAGCACCAGATTGGCCAGGTCGACCTGTTGATGGCCATGTTTCCCGCAGAAGAAGAGTTGACGATCCGAGAGGAGTCGCAAAATATCCTAAGCGCTCTGAAGACCAGCATCGAGGATGGCGCAGTACCGACGTTCAGCGCGTGGCCCGCCGTGGCTCTCCTGCTCACATTGGCAATCCCGGAGCCTCAAGATCCAGACATCCACAAGTCGCTACAGCTCGACATCAACGCACCATTCGCCTATGAGGGAAGTGATGCGCCGGAAGAAGCACCAAGGATACGAGTCCGCATCCAGCAGCCGGACTGGCTCAGCAGAGCAGAAACAGCCCACCTCAACGCCCAGCACTCTGAGGTCGAAGAAGACCTCTTTAGCACGGTCGAAGCCATTCAAGAGGCGGCAGCTCAAAAGCTCAAGGAATCTCGAGAAGCCCGCGTCGACGTCACATCAGATGCTGCTGCTGCTGCGGCAAACGGAGGCGGACCTCTAGTTCGAGTCTGGTTCTACTTTCCCTCCATTTCGACACGCTCCAAGCGCGACGACTTCATCTTCAATGCGCCGCACTACCACCTCACGGGGTTCTTGTACGCCGGAAAACCTGGCCTTCTGTGTGTTGAAGGCCCGTCGCAGTACATTGATGACTACATGAAGTTCATCAAGACGGAGAGCTGGGGCGACATTCCGGCACATCACAAAAAAGTCAGCGAACGTCATCGTGAGAAGGCTATCACGACGAGAGTGTTTGCCGACATGCAGGAGATTACAGATACCGTAGGGCAAAGGAGGGGGCAACGCGCGAATCGAGGTGACATGAAAGCCATAGAGGAGTGGCTGGTGGAAAGAGGGCTGGGCGACGCGTTTACCAAGGTACTGATGTAGGCAAGCATACTGTAGGAACAATGGTCGCCAACCAGAGCAAGACAACTGCTTGCGCTTTTCCAAGGCTAATTCAAGCTGCGACAGCGGTCAAAAGTTATGGAATCCACAGCAGGCCTGGAGCATGCTGTGCACAGCATCACCCTAGGAGCCACAGCCATGCTGACTATGAGGTACCAGGTATATGAGGGGTTGCGGACGGGTTCTGGAACCACCGATGGTATAGATTTGAGGGGTTCAGCCGATGCTATCTTCACAAGACGGCTGCCATGCCATTGCCGAGGGGAACCCATCCTGCTTTTGCCTGTCCTTGCACCAGGGGACGGGAGGCACAAACTCATCCCACAACCTGACCTGACGAACAAGCGAGCTCACACAACATCTATGCTTCAGAAGGTGGCAAAAGTGCTCGCTTATAGAACACTGCATCGCTACTGTCATTGATGGCAAGGATACTGGCTGCATGGTGCCCCATTATAGTCCGTCTGAGACGAGGTTTCAAGCTCCCATAGGGCTGCCGGTCTGCTTGATGTGCCTTGGTGCAGCCAAAACCCCTATGAACAGAGGCATTCCAATTTTTGGACAAACTTGACGTGGGCCCTGAGAACCCAGCTGAAAACGCTTCGACGTGCCGAGAAAGATTCCACATTACGCACTCACATGCGGAGATCCGTGATGATCATGAATTCCTGCGCAGTGGACGCAGTGATCCATTCGCGACATAGTCATCCCCATGTCTCAATCGTGCCTACACCCTGCCTGTCTCATCTTGCCCTGACTGGACCCAATGCTCGCCTGCATGGAATGTCTTGCGGCACGTAGGTATTTGGGAGTAAACCTTGGAAAGATCATTTCCAATTGTAGCCTATGTGTTTACGCATGACCACATTGCAGCACCTTCACCAACCCCAGGTTTCATACCCGAAATAACGCGTGAGCTCATGCGCATTTCGAGCTGTCTCTAGGATAGTCTCTGCACAGGTATATAAAGACCCTCCGCAAGCACTCATATCGTCTTATTGGAGCAATTGCGCAATCATATCCCAGACCCTCTTGACACCATCAATCATGAAGCTCATTTCTGCAACTAGCCTGGCTCTCTTCGTCGGCTTCGGCCTCTCTCTACCTTCAATGATGAAGACCACTTGCCAGTTGGGCAGCATTGGGCCTGCCAATGCGGGAAATGCAGCATGTAGCGCTTCTGTAAGTCTGAAGGAAGCACCCGCTCTCCACACTCTCCGGCGAGGTCAACCTTGAATTTCCCTTTGCTTACAAAGGGACTAGTGTTTGATTCAGCACGGCAACATCCATGGTGGACACTGCAATGAGAATGCGTAAGTTTAGGCACCTTCAGTTACCGTACATGATGGAGGCTAACATCAAAGTAGTGTGTGCATTTGCAACTAGGTCTTTGGGACGGGTTCAGCTTGTTGGAAATACTCAACTATCGTCTACGCTCCTCCTAGGCAGTGGCGGTAAAGTCAATGTTTTTCATCGTTGTCTTTGCCACTGGACAGACTACGAAGAATCCAATCAAGGACTGTCTCCTCTTTCCAGGAGGAAATCTGACCTCATGTCTCCTCAGTGACCCTGATTTTTATTTTGTGCAATGCTTGAGATGACGACGCATGGATCCTCCGGCTTCCTCGGCTTTCTTGGAAACATGATCATTGACCAAGAAAGCCGTAAGACTGCTTCTTGGTATCAGCCCTCGCGTCAGTTCTGGTACCCGTAAGGGTGCTTCCCCGGCACCTGTCTAGAATAACTGAGCCGACAGTGTCCAGATCGGGTTGCCAAGACTTTTGGGGTACCAAACGGAGGAAAGTATACTGAATCCTTCTTCTTTGAATTTTCTGGATGGCATCATGAGAGAATAATTTGCTGATACGCTTGCCGCTGGGCTTCGGGTTTTCTTACACGACTCAGTAGGGAGTAACCGAGCGCCAAATCAGATGCGAGGTGAATCTCGGCACTCCTTCCAGTGCCTTTTCCCGGTTGATCTACAAGATCCTTCAGGCTTACAAACACGCGACAATTCAAGACATTGATGGATTACTATCTCTCCCAATTGTTCAAGGCAGTGATGGGTGATCATTGCTACTGACAAGGGGCTATTCATCCCTGGTGATCCCACGGGTGTGGGGGAAAGGATCGAAGTCCAAGCCACACCCGCCAAGAACACCATTTACGGGTCTTGGCTCGCATGTCCCAGGAGCCCTAGCCGCGTGCGAGTTGCATTCTAAATCCTTCCTTGGCTGGAACCCTGCTGCGGGCGCCCTATTTTTAGCCAGCCGTTCGACTGCCGGCATCCTGACATTGAGGATGTTGGATCTCTAATCACCACAATCGGACAACTTCCCAAGTGATCGAAGGAGGCTTGGTGAGCAGCACCTGCGATGGTCCGCTGTCCATGCATACAGATGCGGCATGGGTTGATTACCAGCGTACTCAGTCTGCAAATAGCATGTCAGCGTCGTTCTAGGTGGTCTTCGGCATCATGATCCTGCCCGAACATTCATGACAACCCGAAGTTCGCGGTATAGTGAGCTTGCTTGACTGCACTCAATCTGGCATAAAAGACACATGCCCAACGAGGTTTCAAGCTACTCTCTTTAGATATCATCAACATCATCAATCACTCCTCCTCAACAACAACATCATCAGCTCCTAGCTTCACCCATCTATCCTCCCAGCATTTACTTTGCGACCTTCAGCAACTCTTGTTCAGAACCCGCATTCGTGGCACTTCAATAACCACAATGCCTTCTTTCCTTTCGGCCGCTCTTCTCAGCCTCGGCGCTGCCCACTTGGCTGCGTCTCAGACTGTCAACTGCAATTCAATGGGTATCCCGGATGGCTACCAGGGCTTTGACAAGTGGCGCGCCACAACCAAGGACTGCTCGGAGGCCACCAACAAACTTGAAGAACACTTCGGTCAGGCAGTCCCAGAGGCTTCCTTTGGTTGCGTTTCTCTGGCCATCTCGGGCGGGTGCGAAGTTTCCATGTGCGACTCGTCGGATGTCCGCCGAAACATCGACTACACCGCGGCCTGGACGGCGGCAAGGGTCATTCATGCGAGACACAAAGCGGACGGAAAGGTGGCTGGATACATCTCGCTTGACGACTACAGCGATGCCGGTGGCTTCAAGGTGTTTGTCAAGGTTGCCGCGACTGACAGCCCCAACCCCACCGGCAAGCGAAAGCGCAGCTTGTTCGGCCGCCCCAGTGCCTTGAACCTGGGTGAGCGGGAAGAGCCCAAGGAGGTGGAGGCTCGAGCCCCGTCTGACGAGACCAGCACGCTCCCTGCAGTGGAAAAGCGCTGGGACTGGAACTGGTTCAGCAAGGACAGCTGGCCCATTGATCACACGGGGCTTTACACCAACATCCGAACTGCGTGGGGCACCGAAGAGAATATCGGCGATGACCAAGTCCTCAATGCTATGGAAAACCTTCTCACGGACTGGAACAACGTCCAAGGCAACCCTTCCAGCCTCACACCGCCTGCGTACCATGCCCCCAACGACATGAGGATCCAGTTTGAGTGGGCTGCGCACAACAACCACAACGTGAATGACATTGGCTACGAGGAGAGGATTCAGATGCTGCACTGGGCAGTTCAGGAACGCCGGATCCACGCCCCGCGCCAGAACTTCTCCATGCAGGTCAGACGTGGCAACGTGTCCGTCGGGCATCTCATCATCCGCGTTTTCTGGGTCGGCCAGGACGAGTCGCTGTCTAACGTCTGTAACTAGATCAACGGACCCAAAAGTCATGCGAGATGAAACACAATGTCGGAAATGGTGCTTCGAGATCGAAAGAGAGGGGAGAGAGGTAAATACCATGGGCGAGGTTCAAAGAGGGTATACTAAGAGAGCAATATGAGAAATGTTTCAAATTGATCAACCCGCACTTGATGCAGCCCAGAACCCTTTGCCGAAGTGTCCTCTTATTTTCACTAGATTCTTATCTGACTACATCGTTTCTTTCACTAGGACCAAGGTCCGCACTCGCGTTTGCCATCGGCTTACTCCATTGACAGACCCAAGATGCGTCCAACAAGACGACAATCATCGGCTCAGAACGAACAAATAAACTAATATTTTGGCACCCATAGCTGGTGACGGAGCTATGGATAGCAAAATGGCTGACGCACCATCTCATCCTAGATACACACTGTTTGGATTCCGCCATTTGCAGTCTTGTGGTCGGTGCAAACAACCTGACAACAGGGGTAGATATCGGTGCACTTCCGGCTTCCCTTCTGTCCCCGCCATGTGACGTTGTCCTGGACGAGCTTCGAAGAACATACAGGGACTTGCCAGAAACCTGGAGTTGAGATGCCCTGTTGAAGGGGAAGGAAAGTCGGACTGTCAGGGCCTCCAGTAGCCGTGTCTGCCGACTTGCGCAAACCGAAGGGCAGCTTCTCGCCGTTTTCCTTCCACCCGTCATAAGCAGACCGCGCGAGCTCCTGCCAGGTGATCTCCCAGTCGTTGTCTGCCTTGCCGATGTCCGGCAAGCCGTACGGATACTCTGCGGTGCTGCTCTCCCTTGTCTTTCCTCCAATCGACTTGACAGACGGCACGCAGATAACCCACAAGTCTTTGTTGTCGTACTTCAAGTACGCGTCGTTGCGCCAGCTGCCCAGGAAATTGGTGGTCTTCTGCGGGTTAAAACGCTCGAACGATCCAACGGCCACCACCGGGGCGCACGACTCATCGGCCGCCCAAGCATTGGTGACAAGCCTTGCGTGGATCACCTTCTTGACGACGGTACCCATCTGACCCTGGCTCACGTCCTTCGCTGGGTTCAAGACGAACAGGCCGTTGTTGAGAAGGCCAATCATGGCAGCTGATCCAGCAGGATCGCCACTGAACAAGAAGGTCATGAGGTTGTCAATGCTGTCTTTCAGCATCTTCACCATCAACTCGGCTGCCTTCTGTACCGAGTCGGCCGCATCAATGGCACCCTGCTCACTACTCGGACGCGGTGGACTTAGTGACTGGGCCAAGACAATGTACGTTGTTCTCTAGGTGTGAGGAGGGTGTTGTACTCACGAGTCTGAAACATTGCCTCCCATGAACTCATACGCGTTGATAGCGCTGCCTACACTATCGCGCGCGCTTGTTGCTTTATCGTTGGCACTTGTCCACTTGGAGAATTGATCTGTGCCCAAAACCTGTTGACCAGTAGAGTCAGATGAAGATTCAAGTGTACGTATGCCGTAGAATATGTGACAGCCTTACCTTCTCCCAAATTCCAGCACCTGTGAACGCGAATATGGTGTCGAAAGAACCCAGGATAACTTTCAATGTGCCAAGCCAGTTTCCGGTCTGTGGCCGCACAAACTTGGCCGCCATGTTCTTTGCGTTGCTCGTGATGGGGTTCTCGACTTCGACAACAGCATCGTAATACTTTTGGTAGAACGCATTGAGGTTTCCGAAGGCGAGCTCGACCATAGCCACGGACGAGTACGTGAGGGTCTGACAGCTGATGGCATTGCTGTACGATGCAGATGTTAAAACTCACTCGAGAAGAGGGTACAACATCCACTGGGTGCACACATACCATCCACTCTTGCCCAGTTTGTCGCACGAGTAGTCCTCTGGTAGCTCTGTGGCCTGGCTCGGGTCATGATCGGTCCCCCACATCCAGCCGACGGCGACAGGCATGTTGGTCAACCAACGGGGGATGATGTCGGGGTTGCCGTTGTTGCGAATTCTGGTGATTAGCTCCCACCATGCCATCATGTCTTCGAGTGTCGTTTGGGCCATGACTGCGTCCCACCTCTTCCAGGGGTCGATTCCGATGTTTCCAGCGATACCGCAGTCTTTCCTATCTGTTTGGGAGTCAACATGATTCTAGATGTAGGGGCAAATGTATGGCCAAGTGAGTACTTACAGCATTTCCACGCTGTGATACAAATGTCAGATCTTGTCGTTTCGTGAATAGAGAGGGTCACTTACGGAGGCCGGAATTGGCTGCTTTGCAAGCTGCCATGTCCTTCACCTTGCCGTCGTCGTCAAGCGGCGTCTCTTTAAAGATGGCTCCTGGGACAGCTGGACGAGTCTGCGTGCAAGCTGATGGAGGACAGTATCCTCGAGAACAAGCAAAAGCGCAGAGACCAATGTACTCGGATCCAAGGTTCGCCAGCGGGTAGCCAAAGGGTTTGCTTGCAGGCGGCTGGACCATGCGACCCTTGGTGGAGCATGTGCAAGGGGAGGGACTACAGAAGATTAGCACACTGGATGTAAGGCGAGGGCATTTGATGACTGACCAGTATCCGCGGCCACAGCTAAAGTCACACAGGCCCCCGAAGTTTCCTTGTCCAGTCCCGGAGACGCATTCTTGCTGGGTCACCGGCACCTCGGGCGCTGGCTCTTCTGGCTCCGGGATAGGCTGGGGGATGATACATTTGCCCTTAAGGGATGCGTCCTTCGTGCATACTCCAGTAGGACAATAGTTGTGGTTGCATGAGAACTAGTAGTAAGTATTGTGAGTCAGAAAGACTTTTCGCACCGACGGTACATGGTATTGGGGTTCAAGAAGAGTCTTGAGAAAAGTAGTCAGACTTACAGAGCAAAGTCCTTCGTACGTGCAAGTCATTCTGGTATGGCGGTGGTTAGCAGGTAGCTGCGGACGTGGTGATGGAGGGACCCCTTACCCAGCGGCAGGCCAAGCATCAATGTTGAGAGACTTGGGCTCGGTCACCTTGAGGCCCATCTTGGTACAAGTACAGGGTCCGCGAGGGCAGTAGCCATAGTTGCAAGCAAAGGAGCAGATGCCCTCGAAATTCTCATGAGCGGCCCCGAAATCCTTCACTCCCGTGCCGGCGACGCAAACTTGGTCACCCAGCGAGCGCGGCGGCGTCACAGAGACGGCTGCGCCTTTGGAACTGCCGACCCAGGCGTTCCAGTTGTTGAGGCCAGCGTTCTTGGAGCAGTCCGTTGTGATGGCAGGGCCCTTGACTGAGAGACCGCCCCTCGACAGGGTCACAACCACCTCGCCTGTGGCGCCGTTGAAAGGCACACTGCCGTGGTAGATGCCTACGCCTCCGTCGGGGATGGAGTCCCAGGCCCATTGGGCCTGGGCCTTGCCACCGATAGAGACTGTCGCTGCCGCATTGGAGCCCAGTAGCGCTGAATAGAAGATGCGGTCCTCTGAAAGTTCGGCGGGAGAGTACACCGTCTGATGCTGGGCGGCTGTGTTTCCTGTTGTTCCGCCACTCGAGCAGGCTGAACCTGGGTTCAACCGGTACCAAGTAGTCAGGGTCTCACGAGACACCGTCGAGATGTTGTTCTTGTATGTGTCGATGACATAAGGCAGCATATCACGCCATCCGTCATGGGGCATATCCCGAACATAGTTGAAAGGCGAGTTGCCTCTGTCGGCAGCAAATGCAGAGTATTGCCCCTCGTCCAGAGGACCGATGTAATGGGACTCTCCATAATCGTTCCACGAGATCTAGAGCCGCGTTAGGCTTTGTATCGAGTATGTAACAAGAGAGGCAGGAATCGTGCAACAAGCATAACTTACGATTTGCACAAACTCGGGTTGCAAGTACCAGATGTGGGCCCAGCGATCAAACCAGGTGTGGTCGCCCCTCCAAAGCCAGTTCTTGTCAAAGCCCGGCATGTTGGTGTAGAACCAAGGGGCGACCGGCATCATGTAAGGCATGCCCTTCATAAAATCAAGGTAGGAGGCGTCGACCTCGGTGTTCTTGCGGTTCGGGCCTTCAGCCCAAGCGGCCCAGCTGAATAGACCATCAGCGATGCCGAGGGCCACAGCCTTCTTGGCTCCTAGGGAGGACCAGGATGGGATGAAGAAGCACCCGGTCTCCTTCTTGATTGTGGGCCAGTCGGAAGAAGATTTGGGACCCTCAAACGTGGAGACGAGGGGCTGAGAGCCGCGGCGGAAATAGGCTGACGAGGCGGCATACTAAAGCAAGGTGTTGTGAGTATAAGCTCTGCATTCGGGCGGCGCGAGTTTGAGCAGCATGTTGGTTGGACCTACTTTCTTGATCATGGTTATAACGGTGTCTTGCAGCCACGCGCCGTTGCCAGCATAGTCAAACGAAAGAAAAAGCTTGAAGCCCTTGCTTTCAGCAGCAGTGAAGAAGAGCGGAAGGTTGACGTCAGTAGTGTCCTCATCCATGGAGAAGTTGACGGCAAAGCCATCAATGTGCGCTTCTTGGGCAAGGCCGATCTCACGCTGATAGTCTGCTACAGTAAAGCCAGCGGTGTTAGACAGCATGAAATGCGCGAAAACCGACTTGGCCTGGACCTGGACTATCCAGAGAGCCAGAGCCAGCAGCCCAGCAGAAAGTCGACAGCCGATCATGTTGTCGGGCGTCAGGAGAGATGGCCAGGTGGGTGAGGATGCCTTTGAGGCCGTTGGAGTAATCTGCACTCATGCTTCTGTCCTCCTCGCGTCCCTTATATGAATCCACGGAGGAGACGAACCCTCGCCCTGGTCATCATCGAAACATGGAATGCCCCTCGGCCTTGTTGAGCTCTTTTCCAGCCTGCATGCTCCTAAGTCGTTCCGCCGGAATCCTTCAACAGAGCGATGGCACGGCAAACGGAGATCGGGTCCTCGAGGAACTACTAGCCCCCAAACCCTCGTCCAGCGCTGTAATTCGTGCGGCATCCGAGTCCTAGACTGGATCATGGAGATTGGCATGCGGGATGAGTGCCGTTCGCAGCTTAGCTCGCCGAACCGTCGACCCAGGCCCGCGGGCTAGGCCGAGCATGAAGGGACTTTGGTCTAAGCCCTATGGCAGTCGACCCGATCAAATCTCTTGGCCCTGGAGATACCCGGGCGGACCTGCAAGCGTGCTGAGAGATATTGCCACAAAGCTGCAACAGGTTCGGCTCCTAACGAGAGTCGGCTTTCGCTGGCAGCGTTGCATGGGGTGAGGTGAGCACTAAGCAGGCTCTTGGTGCCAGGGGTTTTTTCCCTGTATGGTTGACCCCCATCAGTGGGACAACTGACCCCGATCACCTGCCTACATTGGCAGGCTGTAACGAAGAAAAGAGAGCCAGATGCGATTCGGACTAGATGGGAGAACGTGCATCGAGTACCAGGACGAGGGTGACAATGGGTCGAAGAGGAAATCTACCTTCGCTACGGGTCACCCGGCCCGAGAAAACTAGGCCTGCTTCTCACGGGGTGATTAGCCTTCACTGTGTAGAATGGAAATTCCATGATGGTAGCTCACATTCGTTGAAAGGCATGCCGCGCTTTTCACAGAATCGCTGCGTAGATAGGCAGGTATCTACGGCAAGCTGATGGAAACACATCGAAATCCTCTGCGGCTAGCAATGCTGGGCGATGCTGAGAGATGGAGGCTGAGCATATAGGTGGTACAGCTGCAGGCCTCATTCGCAGTGCCTCGCAGGGATTGGACGTCCACGCAGCTCAAGGCTCTCATAGTCTTGGCGCGTGATGGCAAGCCATGACCATAGCTCTAGAAACACCGTGCAGCCTAGTCGCGAGTGCTGGCTCAACATTCGTATTATCCCCAGTCGAACAGATCATCGCATTTCTTCATGGAGGTGACGACTGGAGTGGCCGGCCTCGTCATCTTTGCCATCGATGCGGCCTTTAAGCTCACGAATCTGGTCAATGAAATCCGAGACGCGCCCGACGATATTCGCGATCTGGGGTCGAACCTCATATCCCTGGCCACGATTTTGAACAGCACAAAGACATTGTGCTCGCTGGACGAGTTCAAAGACGTCGATGAGCTGCTGTCGGAGACTCTGATGAGCTGCGTGAAACAGTGTGAGGATGCCAGCAGCGGCCTGTATGCCGAGCTGAGCGCCTTCAAGCCTCGCACGCCGACGACACCTGGCGTGGTGGAGAGGCGGAGCTTGCGACAAATGATGCACTGGTCCTGGCGGCAAAAGTCGAGGCAGGCTCTCAAGACGAGACTGTTTGATTCTAGGGACAACCTGAACATGGCCGTCACCGTCCTCAATGGGTACCTTACCATCCGTTCGGCCCAGCGAGGTCCTCTACAGTCGGGCTGACAGACGATGCAGTACGGTGGCCGGCAAAGGGTATCACGCGATTCGTATGGATATTGCCGAGCTCAACATGAAGCTGAACCGGGGTGCGAGCCCTGCGAGCCGTGCTACCCGGCAGCGATTTCGCGACAAGCTAGAAGATGATCTGAGAAGCGTGACGAGTGATGGTCAGATCGTAAGCGTAGCGGGCAGGACAGATGTGAGTTTCGGGATCCGCAACTACTTTGATCGCCTAGAGATTGCCACGATCCCAGCTGCTCCTCCGCCTATTGACGCGTTGTGGGTATACATCAGTCACCTATCGCCTTATCATTCTTGCTGACAGGTTTCCATGCAGTCCAGAGCAGGCCAACAGTGCGGTAGACACGGAAGAAGCTGTCGGTAACGGGTCTGCGCGCGCGCCAAAAACGCTCTTGGAAGCTGTGACGTCTGGAGACCGAGCCGCCGTGGAGTATGTCCTGTCCCAGGACGCTGGCCTGAACCGGCGATCGCCAGAGGGCCAGACTGTGTTGCACATTTGCGTCTCGTACGACGACAGGGAAACGGCAGACATTCTCATCAAGCATGAGCCGAGCATCATCAACAGGAAGAACTCTCGCAGCGAGACCCCTTTCCAGTTCGCCTTGCGAGAGCAGTCCTGGAACGTAGCTGGTCTTCTCATCGAGCGGGGCTGCTCCATGGGCCAGTTCGCCACGGAATTCTTCACCTGGCTGCCGCAACATGTGACGGACCTGGATTCCGTGCAGCCCGTCATCCGGGCTTGTTCAATGAGACTGGGGAGCGGCATCGGCTCGACACCGCTTCTGCATCGAGCCATCGAGCGTGGTGATACACGGTCTCTCGAGATTCTACTGCAGTAGGGGCTCAACCCCGATTATCCCGAGGCGGACACAGGTACGCAAAGAATTCCTCAACTCCACGAGCTCTTGTACCCGAAGAGTCTGTTCCAGCTGACGCACTTCTGCTTCCAGGGTTGCGGCCGATCCAGGTCGCCGTGCTGCTGGAGCAGCGGGAGCACGCCAAGCTCCTGATCGAACACGGCGCCGCGCTCAACAGGTTTATCCCGGCGACGATCGCCACGGACAAGATTCATCCACAGCACGAGCGCAAATACCACGACCGGTGCCGCGCGCTGTTGTACGACGCCTCGCTTCTGCAGATGTCCATCCTGTTCAACAAGGACGATACACCAGCCATGATGCAGCTCCTCCTCGACAACGGGGAGGATCCAGACTCCAAGGAGGGAGGGACAGCCAACCTCCTCACGCACCTCTATCTCGAGTCCCAGTGGGTCTACGCCCAGGCTATTATCCGCGCGGGCGGCGACGTCAACGGGCGTGGTCCAGACGGCTCAACGACGATGCACTGGGCGGCGTACGCGAACAACACGCCCCTCATCAAGATGCTGCGAGAATACGGCGCCGACGTCAACCCCGGGCATCCGGGCAAGGACGACTCGACACCCCTCATGCTCGCTGTGCGACACAGAGCGAGGGCGGCGGTCATGGCACTGCTCGACGCAGGGGCGAATGCCAGAATGACAGACGTTTGGGGGGTCACGGCACTCGGAAACGCGGAATATCTAAAGTCGGATCCAGAGTGGGCAACGGCTCTGTCGGCACTGAGAGAGGCAACCATGCCGTCCGCCAAGAAGAAGCCGCTCTTCGTTTCGGTCAGCGAGGAACGGGAGACATCGAAACAAAAGGGATGAGGAGATGCAGTCGACGGTGTTCCTTAGGCACCGTAATGTGCCTTAGATGCATCATACCCGCTAAGTGCATGTGTGAATGCAATTGCATCTGCCGCGCCGACAACGTGGTGGGGTAAACGGCTGCGCTAACCGGATCGAGGTCGTACCTGTAACACCTCAACTGCTAGTGACGCCCTGCTGACCTCGTGCTGTCGAGCAGTCGAACCACCAACAGCAACCTCGAAGCTATCCATATTAGCCATTTGCGCGCATTTGAGAGCATTTGTCTTTTGCGATTCCGATTCTATACCTTTGCATTTCTTCTTCCTGCGTCTTCGACTCGACGTCTCCAGAACTCTACCCACTAGATTCCCGTACCCCATAATCGGCCACGACACCCGGTGAAGCACACGAACAGACACAATGGACCACTCTCACATGGATCACGGCGACTCTGGCCATGGCGGCATGGACCATGGCCACGGCGGAATGGACCACGGCGACATGGGCGGCGCCCAGTGCAGCATGAACGCAAGTCACCCTCTCCACCTCTGCCTAGGTAGGCACTAGGTAGGCACCAGCTAACCCGTGCCACCCTTCAGATGCTCTTCACCTGGGACACCAGCAACCTCTGCATCGTCTTCCGTCAATGGCGCATCGACTCGACCTTCTCCCTCGTCCTGTCACTCGTGCTCGTCGTCGCTCTGACCGCCGGCTACGAGGCCCTCCGCGCCGCCTCCCGCCGCTACGAGACGGCTGTCAACAAGCGTGTCACAAACCTCCCCAGTACGTGCCCCCCGCTCTCCCCCTCACTCTCGCCCTCGCCCTCAAACCTCCCCTGGTCTCCCACCCCGTCATGGCGTGTCTCCCCATCCCTCGAGTCTGAGCGCTCGGCGGCTAAAGACGTGTCCCGCTCGATAAAGCCACCGGTGACCGAGAACCCGATACTGAGACCACGCCCTTCCTCTGGACAGGATCGCAGCAGGTTGAGGCGAGCAAGACCGCGCACGTCGTCAAGGCTGTGCTCTACGCGCTGCAGAACTTTTACGCCTTTATGATCATGTGAGTTTCCCTCTGTTCCTTTCGCTCTCTCCTTTGCTCCCTCGCCCTCTCGCTTGTAGGGGTAGTCGGAGGTGGATGGTCCGAGAATCGGGGTTTGCTGACGGCGCAGGTTGATCTTCATGACGTACAACGGCTGGGTCATGGTTGCTGTGGCGCTCGGGGCGTTCGTGGGCTACCTTCTCTTCGGCAACTCGACGTCCTCCACCAAGGACAACGCCTGCCATTAAGACACGTTTGTTTGCGTCGCGGGTCCTGTTCAAGGCAGATGGGAGAGTGTCAAGCTGGAGTCTCATTTCATTCGTCTAAAGGTTGCTGCTGTCATGGGATATCTACATCAGTATGCGACGGACACGTCGGCATGGCTTGAATGCAAAGTAGGAGAAGAAACTCTACATCTTGGCCGGCTCGCCTGCGTCTGCTGCAGCCTCGGTCTCCTCCTTGAGAGCCGGGTCGGAAACGACGTCGGGCTTGGGCTTCTTCGTGTCGAAGAAGCCCCCTTCCTTCTCCACCGTCTTGATAATGTCCTCGTCGCCGTGATGCTGGTTGTGTTCAAACTCGGGCGTCTCGCCGTACGCGAGCCGCGCCGCGTCGACGAGAATGTGCGCCGTCATGCCCCAGACCTTGTACCGCGCGACCTGCTCCTCCTCGAGCTTGGCCGCGAGCTTCGTCTGCGCCTGCGCGTCGGCGTCGGCTGGGGCCTCCTCCTGCTGCTTCTCGTCTTGCGCACGCGCCGCGGCGGGTGGCGCCTCGGGCTTGGACACGCGCTGCGCGTCGACAGGGACGTAGAAGTTGTGCACGCGCCACGGCGACTCGCGAAAGTGGACCCAGCGGCCGTCGTACCAGTGGCCCGGCGGATGGGTGCGGCCCGTCGCCTCGTCCTGGGCGCGCAGGAAGTTGTGGAAGGGGGCCGAGAAGACGGCGGCGACCTCCTTGGCGTCGAGGACGGGGATCATGGCCTCGGCCGGCGGAGGGGCGTCGGCGTGGGCGTCAGCTGCGCCGGGCGGTCTCGTCTCGGTCGTCTGGTCGGTGTGCAGGAAGGCGACGCAGGGGCGCACGACGATCTGGGTCTGGGCGATGTTGCAGGGTAGTTCGCAGAGCGACTCGATGCGGAAGGGGGCAGGCAGGGGGTGATGTATGTTGGGCAGGCCGATTTCCTCAAAGGCCTCGCGGCGGGCAATCTGGTCTGGGCCGGATCAGCGGGGTGGGTCTCGATCCGAGGCACGGCAAGGCGAGTATATATGCAGCAGCAGCAAGTGAGGAGTGGAAGAGGTGGACATACAGGGCGTCTCGTGAACGTCATCGGCCTTGCCACCAGGGAAAGCAGCGTGTCCAGAGTAATTACGCAGGCTGGCGGCACGCATGGTGATGACGACCCTCAAATCGCCACGGCGATCGGCAAACAGGAGGAGAAGCACGGCGGCGCGGCGGCTGGCGGGCAGGCGGTCCCATGTCGGCAGGGGCGGCGGCCTGTAGGCTCGGAGGCGGACGAGGGCGGCAGCCGATTGCGCTGTCAGCGGCGACATGGCGGCGGCATCCCAGTAGGAGGAGTCGAGTTCGTGGTCGAGTTCGTGGTCGAGGTTGGACCCTGTGTCAGCCTCGGGTCGAGAAGCCGAGGCTTTCCGCAGGTAGGTGACAAAGTTGCTGAGGTCCTCTTCGGTGGGTTTAGGCAGAGCAGGTCCGGCTGGAATGCCGTGTGGTGGAATAGCGGCCTCGTGAAGTATGCGGCTATCGGTGGACGCGGCTAGCGGTTCTGTGCTCATGGTGGTGGAAGAGGGAGAAGATGGGAGTATTGAATATGGGAGGTGTCGTCACAAGATGATTCAGGTCCGTCACAAGCACAAACATCTTGGCTACTTAGGCTTGTTAGGTAGGCAGGTGGGGTTTAGCGGTGCCTCTTGCCGCCTAGGTACCTGGGCCTAGGTAGTGGGTAGGTCCCGTAGGTACCTGGTGGGGCACGCGATCGGGTGAGCTGGGCCGTCATCAGGCCGGGGCGCCGAATGCGGGGGCGGGGCTGCCTCGATCCTGCCAGCCTTGTCTGTGCTGTACCTCGACAGGCTTGATACACGACGAAAGGATGGGACACGATCAAGCAAACCAACGACACCACGGATACACTGACCAGTCCATGATGCCCAAATCATCTCTATTTCCCTAGTGCCAGCTATGCTTGGTCCAAACGTTCTGCCTTCTCAAGCAGTCACACCTGTGCTCCATCGTTGAGGACCTTGATCTTCCCCTTGAGAACCTCCCGCCGTCTCTCCTCCTCCACAATGGTGCGTCCGTGGCCAGACGTCCTCCTGGCCTGAGCCAACAGCTCGTTCCACTGCCTGTTGATTTTATGCAGCAGTCCCGGAGACGCAGGCCCTGGCTTAACTTCAGCGTCAAAGCCTGTCTCAGGCCCGGCGAGAAAGATGGGCCTTGGTGTATCCGGACCGCTCGCCCTCCTCGATCTCATGGGGATGACAGGTCCTGGCTCGCCATCCCGCTCAGGCACCTGCTCATCTCCATGCCTCGTCCACCCAGGAGAGCGCGGCTCACCACTCCTACGCCGAAAGACCCTCGAAAACGCCCCCGAATACCTCTCCCTCCTACCGACCTTTGTCTCCTCCACGTCGAACCGCGAACCCCCCGACCCCGGCGGATACGGCGTCCTCGCCACATCCGTCAACGGCGGCACCGCCCCCGTCTCGACCCTCGCCGGAACACCCCTCCTCCGTCCCGTCTGGCCCACATTGTCCGCGAAGCTCAACGCGCCCCCGCGCCCGCCACCCCGCGTCAGAACCGCAAGCTGCGTCGCCGTCGCGTGGTACAGGTCCCGCGCCAGGTCGACGCTGTGCTCGTTGTAGTTGCTCCGCCGCGCGGGCAGCGTCTCGAAGTGATGCAGGCTCGGCGAGCGGGGCCCCGCGGGCAGCGACTCGCGCCGCCGCGCGGGCTCGCGCTCGAAGAGGCCCAGCGTGCGCGCCGGCTCGGAGAGCGGCAGGTCTTGTTCCGTGCTGTAGAGGCTGCTTGTTCGCGAGGCAGGCATCGTCGTCGCCTGGGCGTGGTTGTCGGTTGCCAACGTGAGGTCTCGCTTGCCCGGGCTGCTGGCGTGTTGTGCATCGTCGTGCTCGTGGGGGAGGGCGGTGCGGAGGGGCAGCGAGAGGAGGCTCGCGTGGCCGTCGTCGAGACGGGGTCTCTGAGCCGGCGGCAGGACGCCGCTTTCAAAGGACATGTTCTCCGGCGAGTCGACCGAGGAGCGTCTCGGAGACGAGGTCTGCCATTGGGATAACTCGCTCTGCCACCTCGGAGCCGGCGGTGGAGGAGGTCGTGGCGGGGCGCTGGTTCTGGGCCCTCCAAAGTCGGCCCACGAGCGACTATGTTCGTGAAGCGCGACCGGCTTCCTCTTCGGCCTCAGGGGCGGCAGCGGAAGAGGCTGGCTGGGGGGTACGCCGATTTCCATACCGCTGAAAACTTGGTCTGGCTTGCGATGGTTCATGCTTCGAGAAACGATGCGATGGAGCGATGGCGGGCGGTTGCTGTCAGAGCGCAGCGCGAGACTGTTGAAAAGGGAATGCCGCATGGGGCCATACTTAGGCGTCTGCTCACGTTGGCGGACGACAAAGGCGACGTCGCCGAGTCACTGGTTTCAATCCTGAGAGAACCCCATCGCTCGACGGCCCTTTGTGACTCGACCGTGTATGACTGGGCGAATGTCGTGTGGCGAATGAATGGCAAACAAAGATGGGTGCAGCGCTGACGAGCTGCTTGCAAGTCAGCGAAGACCGTGGCGTGACTTGTTCCTTTCTTGTGGTTGCTCAGAGCGGTGTTAGACCGCCCTATCGAGAGAACAAACACCAGCGTCACAAACGAGAGGGACCAAAAATATGTGGTGGCGTCTGAGGCCGGGCCCAAGCTTCCATTCTCACACGTCGCTAGCTTCAGTCATGAAAGTGTCAATGCGAGGATCGAGGATGAGAAAGAGCTTGGCGACACCATCCACCCCCATGTCGATTTCCAGATCCCAACCAAGCCTGCCAATCACGTCAGTTAGGTCAGCTCGACACGGGGGTTGACTCGGAGCACAAAGATGACAGCTTCACGTGCACCCTCGAAGAAATGGTATTCATTGCGTGAGACGATTCGAGATCATGACATTACCCCCCAACACAGCCGTTCCCTCTCCGCATACGCCATTATCGTGAACCACAGTCCTATCCACATAACCTCGTGATCATGCTCCCCACCACGCCGCTCACACCACAGCCGTGACGCGCCTGACGTTTCTCCTCGCGCCCTCGCCGCTGATCATGATGAGGCCCTCCATCTCCAGCGCCCTCATCGTCTCGCTAAAGTCAGCCTGCTCGACAGCCACGCTCGCGCCCTCGCTCAGCTGCTTGGCGACCTCGCCGTACCGCACCGCCTGTCCCGCGCTCGTGAGCTCGTCCAGCAGTCGCAGGATGGCGTCCTTGATCTCCTCGCGGCGCCTGCGCTCGGCGGAGCTCGTGCCCTCGGTGAGCAGGCTCATGTCGATGCGGCCCTGCGAGTCCGTGGCCGCCGTCTTGAGCGCCGACCGGATGAGGCGGCACGCCTCCTTGACGTCGTCGCGCGTGACCGTCGTCGAGAGGCGCATCTTGGCGTGCGCTTCGGCGAGACGGATCATCGACTCGAGCTGACGCGTCGTCGCTGTGATGCGCTTCTCGGCGGCGCGGACGTCCTGGCCGAGCTTGCGCATGTCGACGTAGTTCTCGACGAGCTCTTGGGCTGCGTCCTGTGAGATGGTCGGGTGGATGTTGGCGCGGGCGTAGGAGATGTAGGAGGTCAGGAATTCGACGGGCTGGGGTTTGTTAGTTGTTGGTCACTCGCAAAAAAAGGAGGTACCAGGACTTGGGAACGTACCAGAATGTCCAGCTCCGTGGCGGCCGAGTCTGGTGTATCCTCGAGGTATAGGGAGAGAAGATGGCGGGCGAGCTTGCGGTCCGTCTTCTCGTCAACGCGATCCAGGATGAGGTAGACGAGATCGAAACGAGACAGCAAGGTAGGAGGCAGATCAATGTTTTGCGGCACGGGAAGATCCGGGTTGTAACGACTGCCGATGGGGTTGGCCGAGGCCAGAATACTGGTGCGAGCGTTCAGCGTCGTGATGATGCCCGCCTTGGCCACCGAAACAGTCTGCTGCTCCATGACTTCGTGAAGCACTGAGCGGGTGGCGTCGGACATTTTATCAAACTCGTCGATGCAGCACACGCCGCCGTCAGACAGGACGAGAGCACCTGATTCGAGCACAAGTTGTCTGCTCTCAGGGTCTCTCGTGACGTATGCGGTAAGACCGACAGCGGAAGAGCCCTTGCCACTGGTGTAGACGCCGCGAGGAGCAATCTTGTGGATGTAGCCGAGAAGCTGTGACTTTGACGTCGAGGGGTCACCGCAGAGCAGCACGTTGATGTCGCCTCTGTACTTGGGGCTGCCTCCCTTCTGGAAGGTCTTGTTGGTGCCGCCAAACAGCTGGAGGAGAATGCCCTTCTTGACATCGTCCATTTCGTAGATCGATGGTGCCAGCGATCGTGACAGGAGATCGTAAATGTCGGGCCGTGCGGCTGTTTCTTGAATCTTGGCTTCCTCTTCGGCCGTCAGCTTGCGCGTCTCCTCCTTGCCCTCGAGCTCGTTCTCGTCGTCGCCTTCGAGCATCAAAGTCGACGGGTCCATGCCCATCCTCTTCTTGTCCACCTTTTGCACATGCAGCACATCCACGTATGTCTTGTATACGCTCTTGATTGTCCTCTGTCGGGGGTTGACCCTGACAGGGCTGGATCGAAAGATACCCGTCAGCTCAACGCGGTCACCGGCTTTGCAAAAGTCGACCAAGTCATGGCCACACGACACAGACACAGAGTGAGGGGTTTGGCCGGCAGGTACAGAGTCTGGCGTCTCCTGGAGCTTGATGATCTGCTTGTCCTCGAATGTGCATCGGTTGTGAACGATCTGCATCGAGTTGTCGGAACCGCATCGGGGCCTGGGGCACTTGGTCGGCTCGCTGATCTTGCCACGATCGAGACCGACGTTGACCGAGTGGTTGCAGACGTTGCATCGGAAGAAGGCGTCCTTCATGTCGGGGATGATGGGGCTCGTGCGGATGACGAGACCCTTGATGCTGACGAGCTGGTCCAGGTCAGATGGGTTGAGATCGCGCAGGTTCGTCGTGGTGGCAAGGCCATAGGGCCTGACTTTGTAGACCATCTGTGATACCGCATCTTCCATGGACTGCTGGTCTGGCTGGCCGCCCGGCGAAGGGGCTCCGTCAGGGCGATCGGAGCTGGGGAAGACGGGTTCGGAGCTTTGCGAGCTGATCTGGTGAGAGCTTCGACCTGCGGTACTCTGGGACCGACGCTGCATATCCTCGGCGGCAGCGAGTTCCGTCATGATGTCATGCACAGACTGGTCCATGATAGGGACGAGATCCTGGGGATATGACTGGATCTGGTGCCAGAACTTGCGGGTGGGCGGGTAGGCGTTCACATCGGCAAGGTCCAAGTACATTTTCGTGTTGCCCAGCAGCAGCATCGTCTGGAGCTGCTCCATGTAAGGCTTGGACTCAGCGTCGGGCGCCGCCTTGACCTCGGCCTCCGAGGCCCCGTCCTTGTACATGCGATACTTCTTTGTGAAGTGGCGCAAAAAGTCCTTAAAGGCGGTGAAGGAGTCGTCGACGGAAATGTTTGTTCCCCAAACAAGAGCTTCGTTGGCGCCGCCCAGGCGGTTGGCCTCTGATGTGTTGGGGTCGCGGTTGCTGAACGAGGCGGGGTCCGAACCAGGCACACTGCCGTCGCGTGTGATCCTGCCCGACTCGTTGAGGAAAATACGGCGAATGGGCTGAGCGGACAGACCCATCTCCTGGCGGCTGCGGGAGTAGGCAGAGCCGGAGCGCTGTCCGACAAAGAGAGCACTGCTTTCGCTGCGCAACTCGGACTGGGCTGGCCGTGACCGGCCAGGACTAGAGCTGGGATCATATCGAACGGGGGATGAGTCTGAGACGGGGGTCAGTCAGTATACATGCGGGAGTTGAGTATGCTCTGCGCTTCTGACCTCTGACTGTGCCGCTGGCGCGGGGTGTTCTATCGCCGTCAATCGACTGCGTCTCGGTCTGTTGGCGCAAGGGAGAGCTGGGCGCCGCTGTAGCGGTACTCTGGCTGTTCGTCATGTGTCGAAGCGGCGAGGACACATCGCCGAGCGCGGGGCCGGTGCGGCGGTTGCCTCCTACGGCGGGAGACGACTGGTAAAAGAGAGGGCTCGACTGAAGGCGCGAGGATGGGGGGTTCTGTCGGGGCGTCTGCGATGCGGCGGGTGCTTCAGCATCATCGGAAGCGAGGGGCGCGGGGCTGCTCTTGGGGACCTCTGCGTTCCTGGTGGAGCGGCGCGGTGTCCCGGCCTGGGAGCTTCGAGTCGATCGTTTGCTCGGGGACGACATGTTGGGCGACTGTAGCGAACAACGATTGTCGATGAAGAGCGGATGCGACGGCGGGTTGATGATGGCAGGAAGGGAGGGGGGGTTGAAAGTCGAAGTGGGCTGGCGACGACAGCAAATTGGCACTCTACGCGCTTTCACGCTCACTAGGGCAACCCCGACGCGTTTCAGGGGGTTGCCGACGCGTGCCACTTAACGCGGTCATGGAAAGGGTACTGTACCTTTCTAACCCCACCTGCACCTGCACCATCTCCTGTGTGTGCCCGTGCTGGCGAGGTACGTACCGGAAGGCTGCTGGCCGGAAGGCTGCTGGCCGGAACGGCTCAACAGTGCGCCCGCGGCACTGAGAACCCCACCCACCGTGTCCAATGCGCCGCCGTGAGTGGGTGGTGAGCGCCAGGCTGGACACTTGTGCTGTAACGGATCGCAACCCACCAAGCCGAAGCTCACCGCGATACCCAGACCCGACCTCAAGCTCGACCAGATACCAGCATCATGGCGCCCGCTCTATCGCTCTTCTCGGTGAACGCCGTCATCATTCTCAACACGGAGGACGGCACGAGGCTCTTTGCCAAGTACGAACCCCCGAACCACCGAGACGCTCGCCTGGCACTGACAGTTCCAGGTACTACAATGCGCCCCACGAGGCCCTGACCGGCGGCAAGGAAGGTATGGGCCGCAGACGCGAGCTGGCGTTTTCCGTTGTCCGGGCTGACGAGGTGCCTGCAGGCTCTGCTCATCCCAACCCGTACCCCGATGTCAAGTCGCAAAAGACGTTTGAGAAGGGTCTCCTCGAGAAGACGGCCAAGCAGACCAGCGATATCATCCTCTACGACAACAGGATCTGCCGTGAGCACGACGCTGAGACACATGGCCCTGCGCAAGTTGCTGATACGGAAGTCTGCAGTGTTCAAGATGGAGTCGGATGTCATGATCTACATTGTCGGCAGCGTCGACGAGAACGAGGTGTAGGTCGCTGTGAAGCTGTGGACCACGGGAAGCTGACAATGGCCAGGCTCCTGTACAACGCCATCCTCTGCATCAGGGACAGCTTGCATCTTTTGTTCAAGTGAGTCGTGGCACCGTCCTAGCCGTGGTCTACCCGAAAACGGTCTACCGGAGAAGATCCAGAGCTCATTGCGTTCATGACAGGTCCAGCGTCGACAAGCGCACCTGCGTCGAGAACTACGTACGTCCATCATCTCGGCCGGCCCTCAGACGCAAGCCGGCCCACGAACACACCGGCCCAGACAAACCGGTCTAGGACACAAAGCTGACTGTTGCAGGACCTCGTCTCGCTCGCCATTGACGAGATCATCGACGACGGCATCATCCTCGAGACGGACCCGACCATCATCGTGCAGCGCGTGAGCAAGGCTCCCGCCCAGGACGTCGACCTGCGCCGCATCGACCTCAGCGAACAGGGCGTCAACAACCTGGCGCAACTGGGAAAGTCGAAGCTCGCCGACTGGTTGAGGCAGGGCCTGTAGAGGGGCCTGTAGAGGGGCCTGTAGAGGAGGGGCAGACGCGAAAGGGGTTGTGTGGCTGGCTGGGTGCAACGGAGTTCTCGGGTCCTACAGGGCATTCATCGCAGGCATTGTTCGTCATGTTCGTCATGAAAAGTAGAAGCCCCCCAGCCAAACCTCGGGGGGGGGGGCAAGATGATGATTTGATGTTTTTATAAGTCACCCTGAAGCTCGTCTATGTGTCCATGTTTCATCAGAGTCTCCATGTCTTCATACGAGTCGTCAGACTCTCGTTTCCGACGCTGCCTTGCGCAGCCTGTTCATGACGGCCGCCGCAACATCGTCCCCGTCATCGACGCCGTCCACAAAAATCACGGCGACGCCCCTCCTGTCCAGCTCGCGGAGCGCCGAGAACAGGCCCCTGGCGATGCCCGGAATGGTCTCGCCGAGGTCAATGTCGAGAATCGTCGCGAGCGCCTCGCCGTCGTCGCCCTGCAGCCGGCCCTCGACAATCGCAAAGACCGTCTCGTCGCCCGCCTCCCCCGAAT